TAATTGAATCACTTGTTTTTTCGGGTCTTTGTTGTAAGAGGGTCCACCGGAAGCATCTGACCACTCTGCTGTCTTGGCCCTGCCTCCCCCTGCCCCACAGTTTTCAAGGCTGTAAATCTGTGTGGAAGCATACTGCCACATCTTTCTTCTGCGGAGCGGCTGGTGGGTTCAAACTGCCCACCTTTTGGTTAGCAACCGTGCACTTAACCACTGCACCTCCAGGCAGGAAGAATAATTTGGAAGACTGTTGGAGGACGTCTGGACAGGAAATGATGAGGGACAGAACAAGAGATGCTAAGGAGGAAGAGTAGTCAGGACGGGGTTGGTGACAGACTGATCTGAGAGAACTTCTGGATTCCTGGTGTGAGTGGCTGGATGTGGCCATTCTTTCAAAGAGGGAGAGAGGAGGAGATACAGGTTTTCATAAAATAAGTTCAATTTGGACATGTTGAGCTATGGAACTCATCTTGGCTGTGGGACATCTAAGAGAAGATGTTTTCTTATCAGCAGTTGGGAATATGAATCTGGAACTTAGAGGTTTGAGCTAGTAAGATAAATGTGGGAAGCATTAACATATATTCAAGGTATAACTCAGTTCTATAGTTTTGACTTTGTTGGTCCTCCCTTTCTCTGGCTTAAAGATTAGATTATTTAAGATTTGGGTCTCTAAGTAGACCACATTCTTCATTTTGACTGCCTTTCATCAGTGATGAATTATGGTTTATGGATGTTGAATAACAATGTTTAATATACTTTATTGTTCTTTGCCCCCCAAATCTACTCCATACTTCCATATACCGGGCTGTTATGGTAAGTGGTTTATGTACATTATCTCCAGGACAACCCTATGAGCTGATTGATCTCTCTATTTTGTAAATTGGGAATGATGGAAGTTCTGTGCTTTGCCAAGCTCATAGCCAATGGTAAGTATCAGGTTGGATTTGAACCAAGTCTGCTTGACTCCCCATCCCCGCTCTTCTCCACCAAAAGAGCAGTTGCCTCTGAATGCCTGTGGCTGCCAATGGTCTGTTCTGTTCCTGATGCAATTATTGTTCTCATCTTCTGACATATAAAAGACTTCTTTCAACAAGTGTAGAAGGATATATATACAAAAACATTAATAGTGATTATCTCAAAACTAATTTGTGCTGTAAATTTTCACCAAAAACACAATAAAAGTTTAAAAAAATGATTATCTGTAATTTTTATTTTCTTTTCCATGCTTTATATTTCCCGAATTTTATGAAGTGAGCATTTATTACTTTTATAACCAGAAACATAATGTCACTAGTTCCAAAACAAAGTTTTTTTCAATCCACAGTATTGACAGTGGGCATTTCAATGAAGTTTAAGCATTGCTTTTCCCCTCCCCTCATCACATTAACGAAAATCCTTAAAAGCAGAATTATTGGTGATAAATTTACTTACAGGTGATCTTAGCAAAAAGCCCGAGAAGCGACGATTTTGCTTAAAGCTCACAGAGTGCTGTTCTTCCCAGTGGGAGGAGTGTGCGTCATGGCGTGATGACCTTGGTGAAGGCACGAACCAACCAAAACTACTGTAGAGTCGATTCTGACTCATAGCGAACCCCATTGGGTTTCCAAGGCTGTAAATCTCTGTGGAGGCAGACTGCCACATCCTTCTCCTGCAGAGCTGATGGTGGTTTTGAACCACCAACCTTTCAGTTAGCAGTCAGTCGCTTTAACCACTGTGCCACCAGGGCTCCTTTGGTTGAAGGCAACTCTCACTTTTCCCTCACCTCTCACTTTCTACAGTTTAACTATTCGGGTGCTAATCAGTTATGGCAAGGGGGAGGATGGAAACCTCTGACATATATATAAAGCATTTGGATTTGGAGAAATTATGTTTTCAAGCAGAAGAGGGATGAAATGAAAAGGCAAGGAGGGAAAGCAAACTTTTAACTGATTTTTCTCCTGCATGTGTCAGTTTAGTTTCTCTTTGTTGTTCAGTTGGCCATTTACACATGTTCATTCCGCCTTCTCAGCTCTCCACTATAAACTTGGAATGCTTTGTTAGATAGGAATTGGGGGTTATATAAAATGATATCCTTAGGAAACAAAAATATTTCAGAACTATGAAAGAAAACATGAAATAATTACCTTCAAAAGAAACTGGCACACAGCATAAAAGAAGCACAGTTTTTTAAATGCTCCATTAAAATAAATTAATTCTCTGGTTCTATGTAGTTCTGAATTAGACTGATACTAAGTTGTAGATTTCTAATGGGAAGACACTGAGTTTTTGTTAATTTTTCAACATCTAGCTTATCTCCATATAAAGATAATTAAGAATTTTTGATTGCTACTACATAATCCAGTCCTAAACTCATAGTTGTGTGCACCTTTTTGGTGAGAGAACAAGTAGGAAAAACTCTTTCTGTGCCCACCACTAGTCCATCTTTTACTTAGTGGAGCTTGGTTGTTAGAGCTTCTTGGTGTGCTCACCTCTCTGAGGTGCCACAGGGCATTGCACTAGGACCGTGAGCTACCTTTTGGGCATGAGCCTGGGGTACTTGAAGGTCATTGACACCACCGTCAGGCCTCCAGGATACTGTAGAGTAATTTAGTAGGGTGTTGGAATGGTATCTAGGGTCCTGGAGCAGTTAAAATTGCTTCAGAAATATACTTGCCAGAAATAACTTATGTGTCCAGAGGAGATGGTCCTAAAGTTCTCTAGGAAAACCCCACCTTCAAGGGTAATGCATTCCTTTTCTCCCAGAGTAGAATTTACCAATCCTACAAAGTCAGATTTAGAGAACATGCTTAAATATTTTTTGAAATAATTGGCTGCTGGAATTAAAATCTTCAGGATTCCTTTGATAAAATCTGCTGATTGGAAAACCAGGATACATTGATTGACGGACTGTGAGTGGGCCCTTAGATAGTTGAATTATAATGGATTTTAGTGGTCATCTGTTGTAAACTTCATTGTAAAGATAAGCATGTATTCCTCTTCAATTATGTTGGCAAATAGAGCTATTAAGAGCCGGAATCTCATGGCTGATTCCTAAAGTCATCTAGCTTGACTCCTGTTAGGAATATAATTAAAGTGTCATCTCTCACCAAAAGAAATAGGATCTCAAGTAGAAAATGTAATCAGGTAGCCATAATGATGATGCAGCTAATACTCTGAGAGCTCTTTTTACAATTTTTTATTTTACTTTTTTTTTTTTAATTTAGAACAGCACTGCCCAATAGAATTATAATGGAAACTTCGTATGTTATTTTAAATTTTCTAATAGCCACATTAAAAAAACAAGTAAAAAGAAGCAAGTGAAGTTAATTATAATTTCTTTAACCCAGTGTATCCAGAATTGTATCATTTCAACATATCATCAATATAAAAATTATCAGTGGTATTTTACATTCTTTTTTCCATACTAAGCCTTTGAACTTGGTGTATATCTTACACTTCCAGCACTTCTCAATTGAAACTAGCCACAGTTCAAGTGACCAGTAGCCATATGTGTCTAGCCACTACCATATTGCACTATTGCACTGATTTAAAACATACCCATTTGAACTCCCAAATATTATTGAAGCAAATGCATTAAAATAGAATATTTTTAGAAAGAGTTCTTAATATTTTAACTAGAAAAGGGGAAAAGTTATTAAAAATTACTTAAATAGATCAATATAGTAAAATAGCTATCTGATGACATTCTACGTATCCTAACTTATTGAAAAATTTTGGTCAAATATTAATAACTAAGTTAAAGATGAGGGGAAACTAGGGCACAGCCCACCTTCATTCCATTTAAAGTAGGTAAGTTTTCTGTTGACTGACCCAGTTGTCCACTCGGATCCTCACAGGGTTACAGTGGCAAAGGCTGCAGGAGAGGCATGACTCTCTTGGGGTATTATAGCAGAGGCTTACAGAATTCGGGACTTGTGCATTACCCATTACTCGTTGGTGTTGAGCCAATTCTGACTCAGCAACCCTACAGGACAGAGTAGAGCTGCCCCCTAGAGTGTCCAAGGCTGTAATCTTTACAGAAGCAGACTGCTACATCTTTCTCCTGTGGAGCTGCTGGTGGGTTTGAAGCACCGACCTTTTGGTTAGCAGACAAGCACTGAAACCACTGCACCACCAGGGCTCCTTGGGACTTGGAGAGACAGGTAAAATCCCCAAAGAACAAAGCATTGCTACAGTAACCATCTTTGGAAAGGGGGAAAGGATGTCATTGGTTGTTTGAATTTTTGAGGGTAACAACAATGAAAAGAACAATTATAAATCATCTTAGGTGGATTCGCTATAGAATTATTTGGGACAAATGTTTTCTGTGAGATTTCCTCGTTTCCCGAGACCTTATATTTAAAATTGTGTGTTGATTTCATTAAGTCAGGATGGGTTGTTTTCATTCAAAAATGTAGTTAATTTGAAGTTGTGGAAAAATTCTCAGTTTATTTGCCCTCACATTTTCTTCAGTAGAAGAAAGCTTATCACCCGAGAGCTGCAAAATATGGTAAGGAGAGAAAAATCATTGTCTTCATTTGGTAAAATATTTCTTAAAAGGTCACAAAGTAACATTTCAGCCAGTGACACCGGAAACCCCTTTCTGGAATTTATTAAGATGTCTTAAAGTATATTGGTTTAAGAGGAGCAAAGTGAGGGAAAATGATGAAATCTAGAGCAGTATCTGTCCAGAGCTTTGTAATGGAGAAATTTTTTTACATTAACATTGGGGCACATTCCGTTTCTCGTGGTGCAGTGGTTAAGAGCTCTGCAGGTAATCAAAAGATTGGCAGTTCAGATCCACCAGCCACTCCTTGGAAACCCTATGAGGCAGTTCTACGCTGTCCTAGAGAGTCACTAAGAGTCGGAATTGACTCGATAGCAACTCGATGGCAACGGGTTTGGTTGGTTGTTTGGTTTTTTTGGTCATACAAACTCAAGTGAGTCAATTTGAATTTCTTGTCTGCTCTTTCTTGGATTGATTTCTAAGAGATCTTTTTTCATTTTTATTTTTTGGCACCCAGGAACTAAATAGCTTTAATTACTTGGATCTGTACAGACTTGCTGACCTCTTTAACCTCACTTTGTTGGAGAAGGCCGTGATCGATTTCTTAGTGAAGCATCTCTCTGAACTACTGAAGAGTCGCCCTGAAGACGTTCTAACACTTCCTTATTGTCTGCTTCAGGAGGTCCTCAAGAGCGACCGCCTCACTTCCCTGAGTGAAGAGCAGATCTGGCAGGTAAGGGCAGTCTGCATGGGTCCTCTTTTGGCCTTGAGATGGCATGAAATGATTAAAAGTTGAAGGGTTGAGGAGCGATGGAAACTGTTTTACCTGGTTTGGCCCTTGTCCTGGTTTAGGATTTAGAAGTTATGCTTCCTTGTTAAGCAAGGGATTGGAAACACAATTTCTTGTGAGTCGGAATTGACTTGACGGCAAGGGGTTAGAGGCCTCAATGGACTCAGCTTAACTCAGACAATCACAGGTGAGATTCCACAGACCTTCTCATCTCCAAAACCCTGTGGCTTCCTGAAACCCTCACGTGGTTATATCAGAACGAGTCAAAGGATTTTCTCACTGATAAAAATTGTTTCTTAAAGTGGACATGAGAAGAATGATTTATAAAGCGATATTTATGCATATGTAAGACCAGTGGAATCAGAATAAATTGTGGATTTTCCTATAAACAATTCAGGACTTTTCTTTACAGCACTTGAGAGCAGCTTGGACCTCTAATGAAATGAAGCTCTTCTTGCATTGCAGTGGGAAAAAAAATCTTCCTGCTTACTCATTTTGCATTCATTTTGCAAGCCCTGCCTATTTGCCTGATATAGAATTCTTTTTGCATATCCTTTGGCCAGGGGACAGGAGGATGTTTTGTGTTTTGAAGTTGATCATTCAATTTAAATCTTTTTCTGCAAGCTCATCCCCAGTGACTCTCCTTGAACAATCCACATGGTGACTTTGGGAAACAATCAGAGCTCGTCTTTCCACTCCTTCCTACACTGTCTGATTCTCTGAAGAACTAGCTGGCCATCTTGTTACTTCTGGGGCTCTATGCCTTCAAGATTTTATGATCATTTGAAAAATATACTGTATACCAAATACAAAGGGAAATATCAAGTCTTCTATTAGCCAATGAGGCAGCGAATTCCTGGAATCTTGTCAAATGACATTGGAAGAGTACTTTAATTCCAGCCAAATGGTGTCCTGTGTAGCTGACAGTTGTCCAGTATCCTACTCCACTGACTCATGATTATTGTCCTGATGCTCCTCTCTCTTATGTCTTTCTTTTCTGTCTTACTTTAATCAAGAACTTCCCTCTTTAATATTGCTTCCACCAGTGATGATAATAAGAGCTGCAGTGTACTGAGGGCCTTCTGACGCCCAGGCTCTTTACAAACAACAGGCCTGAAGGATGGCTGTTATCACCCTCATCTTCCAGGTGATCAAAGTGAGGCTTCAGTGCCTCGCTCAGGGTGACAGAGGGAACCAGGCTCAAATCCAGGTCTGGTGACTCCTGCCCTCATCTCTCGGCTATTCCACACTGCCTTGACCAAAAAAAAAATAAAAGGGAAGGGGGAAAAAAAAAAGCTAAGCTGATTTTTGCTGCTTCTTAGGTATTTTTTAATAATGTTTGTTCAGGTGAAGGTTGAAAGTGTTAGTGAAAATGAGTGTTTGGCATTTCAGTTGTCCACTACTCTCCCCTATGAACACCAATCATCAGAATTGACTCTGATCAATTCAAAGGGAGAAGTAGCCAAATTTTCCTTTGCTTCCCAAAGCGAAGAAGACTTGGAGTGAATTCTGCATTTAATTATTTCTAACTGAATTGAGATCTGAAGCCAACCATCCTTGTGGCTTGTATCTCTCTTTCTGGCATGGTTGAAGACACTGCCTGAGATCGACATGTAATGCGCAGATTTCTAAGTGTCAAAAAGATTCCATACTGTCCACTTAAGAGTTATCATAATTGCCTCTCTAAAGGTTACTAATATTGTAATGTAGAATTTTAAAAACTGGCTTTTGCTGCAGGCAATATATATATTTTTTATACCTGGTCTTCAAGAAAGAATTAAAAGATTCACAGAAATATTATCTATCCATGTAGGCATTCAGTGGGCAATAAGAAACTGTTTTTGCTTTATCTTAGTAAATAAGTAATTCCCATATTCAACCCAATAGAGAAAAATTGAATCAGACCAGCTATATTGCCTTAAGTATAGTTAAGTTCATAATTTTTGCTAAGGTTATACTAGTAATGCAGTATACCATGGAAGAATCTAATATTTAGCCCAGGGTAAAAATTGGGTATGCCAGAGGATTAGTGTCAGGGTGCTTTATAGAAGTGAAACTTGATGGACAGGCTGGAGACAGATCTACAGAATCTCATTAAATTGCTGAATTGTTCATTACGGAGCGTTCTCACTGTAATAAAGTGCTCATTGACTTTGACAAATCCCCATCTCATGTCTTAAAGAAGAACAGTGAAGCAAGGGTTGTTGGAGAAGAGAGAGGAAATTGGCACAAAGTAGGACAGGTAATAGAAAAGCTGATGGAAGGGTGGTACCGTTTGATTAACACGTGCAACCAGTAACCTAAGTGTGAGCCCAGTGAACACACACATACGTTTGCACATGTGGCTCTTCGCTGCCTACTGATAATGAAACCTGGGACATTCTCTCTCTCTCTCTCTCTTTTTTTTTTCCCCTGAAAGGTCTAATTTTCATTATTTACCAGACTTCATGAGATCTAGCTCTGAAGATGTGTTGTATGAACCTTCAGATTATCCTTACTGAACAAATTCTTTTTTTACTTTTTTCTTCTATCCCTTATCCTGTCCTTTTCTTTCATAAAATGTGCTGCTGTGAACCTATGAAATCCCCAAAGATTACGCCTTATATCTGTTCATTTTTTCCATCTGACCTTTTTAAACTTTATCTTAAAAGTTAAATTCTCCTCTCTCACAGAGGGCTCCTTGGTCTGTCCTAGACAATTTTTTCTTTCTCTTCCATAGCCTGAAACTACTTGGTCTGTTGGTTAACGTCGCTCTATTTTCAGAGGTAACACAGGGACTTGCAGCACATACACATCTTAGACGTATAAGGACATAGACGTTTTCTCAAGAAATATTCTTTTTCTTTAATTCAGTTCGATTCACCTCAAAATTGGGTCTTATGTTTCAGGGCCAGCGATTTCTTAGGTTCCAGGTGAAAAACAGCAGAGAGGTTATAGGGTTCAGAGAGGGGGGAGACTAAAAATGAGCAAGAAGAGGAAACATGGGACATGAGGTCACTTGAATCCGTGACCTGGAAAATCTCCACCAATTTTATTTTGCTTTGGGTTATAGCTCTAACTCAGGACTTTGTTTCAGTAGGGTCCTGTTAAATTTCTCTTGTTAGATTTAACATATAGTTTTCAGAATCCTGAGCTGGGTTTCTGCCATAAAATGTAAAGTGAAATCATGAAACAATTTCCTACCACTACCATGCATTGGATCTGTTTTGCTTTTCATAGGAAGCACTTAATAATCACAGTTTTATTTTGTTTTCTTCCAGGAAAGTACAGTCTCTGCCTCTTCTACTTCAGATTCTCTTTCACCAGAATGAGAGAGAGAGACGTTCTTTCCATGGGAGTACAGTTTATGGAAAAACCCTGGATTTAATGTAAACTCTCTCATATTTGCTAGCAAGGGAGAAGCTGTTCTATCTATCAGTATTTATTGAGAAAAACTAAATGTCCAGAACGAACCATGCTGGCGTGTCAGGTAGAGTACAGGTTTGCTAACTCCATTTGCCTCTCGCAGGCCTCATGCCGAACGTGAGAGATCCTTATGTTTTTAAACCATTAATCCAGCCCTCTGAATTATTATTTCATCACAGAAGTAGGAAAAACAAGAAAAATATTTAAAAATCAGTGAAGATAGTTTGTGGAAATAAAAATGAATATTTCTTGAACACCAGTCGTCTGTTACAGGCACAGTATTAGAAGCTAGATCCTGGGGTAAAAGCTTTACAAAAATGTACAATTATTGGGTTAGACCAATTTAGTTCAGCCTCATCTCTGAATGTGGAGCAGTTATATTTTTCCTTTAGTTATTAGCTTATTAACTTGTCTCCTACTTTTAGTAGAGGGGACTTATCTCAAAGCATCATATTTCCTTATTATTTTAGAAAGACAGTACATAAGTCAATGCTTTTTCTTCCTTTATTACTCTTGGGGTTGAGGGCACCTCTTACTTGTATTTTGAGCCTAACTCTGCCTAGACTTCAGTGAACAGTAAGACCAAACATTTCAGTGGTCCTGTGAGTGACGTCAAACTAGGTCAGACCTTAGCAGGGAGCATCTCTTTATCCTACTTATGTTCCATTTGAGTTTGGCAAAGAGGGACTGTGTCCTCTGGTTTGGGGCAGGGGAAGATCCTGTTTACATTTGTCTTCAATTATATGTTCACGGACGCAGAGTCTGTGCCTGTAGTGTTTATGCTGCGCACTGCCATGTTGTCCTCTTGCTCTCTATAAATAATAAATAAAAACAATAATGTAGAGTTTTCATATTAAAATGTGTTGAATGGATAATAAGGAATCCTGCTATTCCTGTGGAAGGCTGGGTTTATTCTAGGAAAAGTGTTATACAAAATAAGTTTGGCCTTTTAAAGACTGCATTTTTCCTTGCCAGATTTTTGCTAGGAATTTGCTTCTGTAAGTCATACTGTTAATAACACATTCATTTTACGTCTCCAGACACATACGTTGAATATTGTTTAGAGTAGTCAAAGACCTCAAATTTAGTGGTTTTTTTGACAAGTCTGTCCTGGACTTTTATCTACAACACAAAATCACCCACATTATAGTTTGATTTAATCATAGTCCTTCAAAAAAAAATTCCCAGAATGTGAATACAAAAAAAGCTACTATTTCCTTATAGTTGGAAAGTGGAGGATACCAGGCATGTACTGATTTTTCATCTTTTATCTCTTAAGTGATAACTTGACCCATATACACCTCTGACCAGAAAGAAGCAAGGACTTCAAACGGTACTACATGTCAAACGATACTATCATAATACTTCATATGTGAGTATCTTATCAGTTTCCAGAATGCTTCTGCATTTATCATGGCTTTGCTCTCCTTATGGTACAAGTGGGGAAAGTGAGGTAACAAGCTACAAATCAAACTCAGGTTTTCCAATTCTTAGGCTGTTTTCACTTTGGACCACAACTTCTAATTTTGTAATGGAAA